TATGAGTAGAAACGAAGAAGTAGTTCACATTGATGACAAAGAAATACCTAAAAGAGATTATTTTAGGCATCTTGGATCGATAATCCATGATAATGAAGAGATTGAGGATGATGTCACACACAAATTAGAGCTGGGTGGGCCAAATGGAGATGTACATCCGGAGTTTTATATGATCGCCACATACCAATGAAACTAATGGGAAAGTTCTATAAAACGAATGTAATATTAATCATGCTTTATGGGATAAAATATCGGATGACCAAGAAACAACATATCTATAGGATGAGTATAGCTGAGATGAGGATGCTGAGATGGATACAATAAAGGATAGAATTCAAAATAATTACATATAAGGGAACTTAGAGGTGGCTCCAATAGACGATGAAGGAAAACAGACTTAGGTGGGCTGGCCATGTATAGTGTGGACCTCATAAATCACAAGGAGAAAATCAGTTTAAGTGGAAGGCTCTAAAACTACAAGGAGAAGGCCCAAAAGGATATGGATGGAATTAATTAGAAGAGGTATGGCGACTTATGCTCTAACAAAGGGTATGATCATGATAGAGCAAAACAACAAAACAAGATTTGTGCAGCCAACACCAAATACTTGGAATAAGGCCCGAATAATGATGATGTTGATCCACTAAAGCAAAATGATTGTCAGAATTTTATAAAATGCTAGGTATCTTTAAAACATTATTTGAAAATTTTTAGTACTGAAAATTCTTTAATAGTTAATATATGGTGTGTATCTGAAAACTCTATGGGTGTCAACAAATTTTAGAGTACATCGTTCCATATTTTCAAGAATTTGTAATAAGGGAAATGACCTTGTGAAACCCTCCACACCCATGTGTGTAGGACCCCAAAGGATTACCATTAAATTTGACATAGATCTCTAGAAAAGTCAAGTCTCACACCCATGTGATAACTTTTCTAGAGATCTGTGTCAAATTTAATGGTGATCCTTTGAGGTCCTACACACATAGGTGTGAGTGGGTCTCATAGAATCATTACTCTGGTAATAAATGTCTTATTTTTATAAAAACATTATTAATAAAATAAAGCAATTTTATTTTCATCATTTAATCCAAAAACTCTAGAAAAATACTTAGTTAAGGTACTTGACGTTGTTTCTAATACTTGTGGAGAATTGTGACAAATGACACTTAATACATTAACTCAACAGTAAGGGGAGGGTTGTTGAAGAGTCGATTACAATCATAGTTACCGGAATCCATCTGCCCAGGTTGTAATTCCACTTTGAGATCCCGATTCCTCAATTTCGACAAGGAATCTTCATGGAACACGTTTCCTTGAAGTTAGGAAATTGGATTTCTTATTTTAGGAATTTCGATTCCAACTTTTTCTAAAATCCCAACATTTATGAAATCTTGATTCTAACTTTTTTTAATCTTGACTCCAACAAGGGCTCGCTAGTATCGCGTTGTGTCACGATCAATAGTGCCCTAGCTTTTATCGTTACTGTTACTAATCTATAGGTAGTTGGCTCATGATTCAAAGGACAAAACTATTGCTTCGTAGCTTGGTCTAAGGTAGTGAGTTTGCGTCATTGTAGTCTCGTTATCTTCAGAACTTGTGGAGTAGGCTTTGCTCGTTGCTACATGGGCTAGGGATGATCGAACCTCGAAGCTCTTTTCGCCGAGCATTTCACCCTCTTTACTTCGCTACGCTCAGCAGCTCGTAAATAACCAATTTTTAATTCCCCATTCCACATATATTGAATCTTGATTTGATATTTTTTAAAAACCAGATTCCACAGCATCAGTGCCTCGGTTTGTAGGTGAAGGAAATTATGACTCAACAGACATGGAATCTTGCTTCCATCTTCATAGAGTTCCAATCCGAATTTTTTTGGAAGCTTGAATCCACAAAATTAAGTATTGATGTTCGTACATGCACAAAATTCTGATTCATTGAATGTCGAATCTCACCCAAATATTTATGGATTTTGATTTCAGTTATTTGGAAACCCGATTGGAAAATATTGTTTCCCATGGCTATAGGTGCTCCAAATAACAACTCGATTATCACAGTGTTGAAGTATTTGTAACACGAATCAACTTTCAAATACAAATGTTTTGAGTTACGAAATACTCAACATGTATGATTCTAATGTCTTTCGCAAGTATCAATTGCAGGTATAACTAGGGCAATGGAGCATTAATGAGAGTACTGATGGTGCTAGGACAAACTTGGATGCGTTTCCAATTGTGCTAAGATAGGCTCAAATCATGTTTCTAATAGTGCTAGGATTGGCTTTTTAAAAATCTAATTGGTAAAGAGTTTTAAATTCAAATAGGACTACAACACAAAATTACATTTCAAAAACACATGAGATAATATTTGTATCTTTTATAGACAATTTCCCTGGTAGAGTACGAGTACTTATTAATTGGCCTTACCCTTACTTCATATCTATGAACCCTTATTTAGGTCTTACATATCTTTAATCTCGATTGCTTGATGAGGTTCTAATGTAGGAGAATTTGAATAAACTTAAAAAAAAAGCAAGAAGCACCTTGACACAAGCAATTTTATGGCAATAATTTATACCCTTTTATTTTCAGGTACCTCCTTATAATCAAAAACCTCTATTGTATTTGACCAATCTATAAACTCTTCGGGTTGAGGCGTACCAACAATATCAGGTATATACACCTACAAATCGACATCGCTAGAGTGAAGCACCACATGTCTAGGTCCCCGGTTGCTATCCTCATCACTCGACTCCACACGCGAACGACAATGGTGAAAAGGGTTGTATTCGAGATCTTCTTGGACTGAAAGATTACCGTCTTGTCCATTATTGAGGGTCGCGAATTGTTGTGTCAGCTGCTGAACTTGTCTTTCAAGTTCCTCAATTCACTCATATCTAGGAACATGGAGTCGGCCCACGAAAATACCCCTTCTCGCTGCCACGGGTTCGCTGAAATCACATACCCTGGGCAACTAATCAACAAAAACGGTTGAAATCAGCAAGATCTAAGTTGTTTTTGACAAAACTTTGGCCAAAATCAGCAAACCCTAGACCCTACTTCAACTTTCCCTCTTTGTTGTTGACCTAGGGAACCAAAAACATTAGTGCTACAGTATTTTTCGTACTGTTACAGTAATCTCTGTACTGCTACAATAGCTTCCGTATTGCTACAATAACATTTTTGTGGATCGCGGGCTCCGATACCACTTGATGTAGGAGAACTTGAAGAAACTTAGAAAATCAGCAAAAAGCACACAATTTTGGAGAAACCGTAATGCCTTCTCCCCACCTTGGACTCAAACCTAAAGCTTCGTTTACAAGACAAAGTCTTTCTTTCTTAATGAGGAATACATGAATGCCTCTCCAGCCCATCCACACCCTTATTTATATGATAGAAAATTGTTTTGGACATTATTTGTCTATACAATTAACTTTTGACCAAAACGTCCTAACTTAAGCATAACTTGAAACTAAACTCCCTAACTTTAATTAAAATATTTAAAAAGTCCCTAGAATTCCTAGAAACTAAAAAAACCCTAAAACTAAAATCAAAATATACATCTTTTAAAATTGAATAAAAATTAAAAATAAGTATAATTTTTCCCGCCATCAGGTTCTAAGTTGTTAAGGCACATTATGTCGTTGGTGTAGGAAACTTAATTATAATGAAGTTGAAACTCGACCCATAAAGTTACAAATCTCTATTACCATGTGGGTCAAAACTCAACTCCAAATTGATATGAATCTCGATTCTAAACTGTTATAAATCTTGATTTCGAATTCATAAAAAACTCGATTACAAAGATGTCGAAATCGCGATTCCATGTGTGAAGGAATCTCGTAGCATATGGGTCATTTCCAAATAGGCTAGAAACTCAACTCCAAAGCGTTCAGAATCTCGATTCCATACATGTAGGGATCTCGACTCCATTTGGGTCAAAACTCGAATCCTATAAAGTAGGAATCCCGTTTGCTGCGATTCACCTCGTACGGACATCAAATCCAAAAATATGAATCTTCTAGCCAGCTGCGATTCCGCTATTTTAGTTCGTAAGACGATTCGGAATCTTAGGTGTTTCCAACAATTATGATGCCAATAATAGGGAGAGCCCCATGTAAGTGCACTTAATATATGAAGTTCAATGCTACGGACTTCTTATAGATGGTTTAAAAACTTAAATGTTTTGCCCTTTCGAACACATTTCTTGATAATTTCTGGCCTGGTTCCAAGTGGTTTGGTGCATGATTCCTTTTTAGGAATTTTCATTCCAAGTTGATGGGACCGTTATTCCAACAAGGTAGGAATCTCGATTCCTATTGGATAGGAGCGCAATTCCCAAATGGTTGGAATCCTGCTGCATGTGATATGCATTGTACAGACGATGATTCCGAATACAGGAATCATCTGGCCATGCACGATTCTGTGGTTCTAATTTCTAAAACAATTCCACAGGCATTTCCAACAAGTATAGTCAACATTAACTTATAAAGAACACACACACACAAAAAGGAGAGAGAGAGAGAGAGAGAGAGAGAGAGAGGAGGAGAGTAGTAGAACGTAAGTACTACTAGTCGACGAGTAGGTACGGTACCTACCGACCGTACCTAACGTTACGTTTACGTAACGTAACGTTACGTAAACGTAAA